AGAAGTTCACAAATTTAAAATAAATATAATTTGCATTCAAACAAAATCATGTTAAAATAAGTAGTTCTGACTTCTGATTTTTAATTTTGTTAACCTATAGATATATAAATATTGCATTACCAATATTAGAACAAACTACAAAGTATATATTATATTTACATTAGCAGATATTTTAGATTCTGAGTGGAACGATGAATGTATTGATTTTACTTTTACAATGATGTGTGTTTTTTTATTTTTTTATTTTTATTTTTTTTGTGTCTGTGTACACGATAAGTAGTCGAAATAATGCTTCGATTTTTGACTTCAGTATCTTGTTCGATTGGAAAGTGAATATCGTTGTTGCATTGGGGAGGTCAAAATTTAAAATTCCCAGTACTTTTCAAAAGCGCCAAGAAAAACAAAAGAAAAATTAAGGAAAAACGGGAATTTTTACGCAAAATCGATTTTTCAGAAAATTGAATTTGGTTTTTGGTGTAACTTTAAAACAAATGACCGTAGATACATGAAATGTTCACTGGTTGTTTATATTTGCATTTTCTATACACGATAACATTTTCAAAATATTTTGATTTATTTTGAACTGTTTAGGGACATTTTCATTTTTCATTTTTTTTTTGTTTTTTTTTCTAGAAATATCAATAAAATTGTATTTGTTGGTTAAAAAAACTTGACAATTTAATAGTAGGCTCCTAGTATATTGTTTCAAAGGCAGATGAAAAATATTAAAAATCGTTAGTCACAGTTTTTTTTTATAAGCATTTAAAGTTCAAAAATTGACAAAATATGGAAAAATCACGAAAATTACCAAATTATTTTGAGTTAAGAATTCGTAAAAATTTTTCTTTTTAAATCTAAGATTTTAAAATGTAATACAAGATTACTCATAAGTTTGTCTACCTTTATCAATAAAAAAATCTCTACCGGACAGTCAAATTCAATTTTTATGAGCGTTTGAAATTCAAATTTTTACAACATTGGCTATTCACTCAATTTCTCATGTAGCGATTTCCTTATTTTGTTGTTATTCAAAAACGAATAACTGTAGGTACATGAAAATTTCACTGAATATTTATATAAAAATGTTAAGAATGTTTATATTAGAATTTCCTATACAGCACACAATTTTGAAAATATTTGGACTCTTTTAGAGCTGTTTACGGACATTTACAGCTTTCAATTTTTTTTTCAATAAATATCTATAAAGTTATATTTTTGTTGGGCCAAAAAGTGTAAAAATTTAATACAAGGCTCCTGATATATTGTTACAATATCAGTTGAAAAATATTAAAAATATATAGGCACAGTTTTTTTTTAAAATCATTTAAAGATCGAATTTTGACAAAATTTATCAAAATCTCGAAAATTATCAAACATTGTAATTAATAAATTATAAAATGTTCAGTTTTTATAGCTAAGGATTGCGAATTTAAAACAAAGGTTCTCATAAATAGTTCATACTGTAACCAACAAATCTAAAAAATATATGAACACAGTTATTTTTTACAGACATTTTAAATTTGTAGTATTTTCATATACCTAGGTAATTAAAATCGAAAACATCCCTCGACTTATTATGTAAAACTTTAAACTATCTTGGATGGGTCTTGAATATCTTGGATTTCAAATAGCTAAAACTTTAGAACTAAGTCCGACTGTCAAATTCTGACTTCACCATCGTTTTTAGCATGCTTAACTACATGTCTACATACAACATCAAACAAATTAAAAAATGGTGCTAGGTAAAACAGAAATATACCGCTGATTTTACCATCATTCTAAATTCGTATTAAAATACGTAAATTTTTTTTTTCAAAATTCGTTATAGGTGCAACTTTGGAAGGATATAACTTCCAAAAACCAAAATAATGATTTCCGAAATTTTTTTCTTTGCATCAATGTTCATAACTTTTTGAAATACGAATCTATTTGTTTAAAAAAAACAAATTCCGGGTATACCTAGCTAAAGTGAATTTACGCCATATTAGTATTGTTTTTAAAATTGAAATATTAAAAACATTCATTTTGAGGACTAAAATAAAGTCTTGCCATCAGTGTGGAGTATACATGTATGCAGGACACGAGCTTTAACATTAGCAAACTCCATAAAAAAATCCTAGATCCGCCACTGTGTATGAATCTATATCTAGGATTTTTTTTAATAGGTATAAGTGGTACCTAGGTATGAGCTATTATTTTAATGTACCTATGTACTTCACTTATTTTCTCAACCAAAAGACGTAGGTATTTAGAACACGGCCACAAATATGCTTACCTACTGCTACTGCTTAGATATCGATATGGATGGGAGAGTGGTTATCACCCTACATTTTTCTTACACTTAATATGGAAAAAGTATATTGTAATGTTTAATTACAATTTATAAAACATCCTTTTATAAGTTTTTACGGTATTAAGGTCACTATACACTATACAGTTGATATGTAATATTATAAGTATGTGTCATATGGCATTGAACATGATTTGTCATTTAAAATTAATCACAAGATAGTATAAATAAATCATACAAGATGCTTGGTTTCATAAATACAAATACACAACAGTTTAAAAAAGTATTATGTTTGAAAAATTTGTATTGTTCTCTTGTACGTTCTTCTTTGGAATTTGGCTCATTAATTTGGTCAAAGAATTTTATCGACTTGAAGTTGTATAACTTGTAGAACTTGAAGTTGTTCAATAAAATTTTTGAAAAGAGTTGCATATATCTAGAGAATCATTCAATACAGTCCAGTTTTCAATTGGTCTAGACACTCTGTCCCTTAGAAGAGAACTAGCAGATGTATTATTTATATATGATTTATTAAATGGAAATATTGACTATCCCTATTTATTGTAAAAATTAGGCATTTGCGTAGGTAGGTACCCTCATATTTCCCTGAAGTAAAGAATTATTTATTATTGCCTACTATCTTAAAAAATCTGGTAGCGCGCACTTGCGTTAAATATAGCTAATAACATCTCCTCCTCATTAGATTCATTAGATATATTTTCATCTACTCGTGATAGTTTTAAATACAATGCTATGTTATTTTTAAGAAATAGTGATGTATAAACAAATTTTATGTAAACTTTATGTAGGTACCTATGTATTTTTGTCAATTAATTTATTGTAATAATTATTTACAAACCTATTTTTGGTCCTTTTTGAATATTCATGTACTATATTATATATTATTATAAAGGACCTAGGTCCGTTAAATTGTTTATAAAATAAAAATATAAAAATTAAAAATTAAAAATAAAATATCTTACAGAAATGTAATAATACCAATATAAATAAAACTTTAGATAGGTATATAAATTGTATATCAGAATAGGTATAACATTTGTGATGATCATTGCTAACAACTGTTACCAATTTCACACTGTAAAATATTTTTTATGTTATCGTTAACGCCTATACCTGCATTATTGTACACTATTCATGATTAATTACAAATTTCTAAGCATTATCTTAATATGTTATATTATTGTACCAGGTAGTAGGTACCTACATGGAGTATTGAAACGGGAAGTTAAGTGTTTTTCTCAAGTATACATTAAAAAGCAGAGAAAAAATTGTTATTATATACTCGTCAATTTAATCGTCGACGTACTTGAAGTATTCACAGAATGTACGATGTGTCGATGTGTTAAGTGTATATACAACTACAGTCGAGTGTTTCAAACGACGGTCAAAAACGAAAACAATAATATAGCCTGTATGACATAGGTATAATATAATATATTATATCTATACAAACATCGGGTTAGGTGTGTCTTTATAATTATGTTTCGCTGTTTACACTGCACAACCATTACAAATGTACAATACTGACCATAACGTCGATGGGGTAATCACTAGTTATATAATAGGTAAACCAAATCGTTTTATATTGGTAATATATTATTATTTAGGTTTCGGGGCTGCAGCAGACGCTTCTAAGTATGTTATAGTTGCAGTAAATATAATATATTATTATAATATACTAAAATATATTATAATATAGGTTTTATAGGTACCTACGCGATGTGGCTGATCCGGGCGTTTTGGAGACTGTGCGGAGTGTTCACCATGGATCTGTCGTACAACAAGTTTCAAAACGAGTACTCCGCACTGCTGAATGCTGATAGCCACGTGCATATACAATTTCGTGAACGCGTCGCAGGTCATATGCAAATTGGATCACTGGTGCTCCACATTTTCGTCGACGCTGACGGCCGTGTACGACAGGGTGTTGACGTCCGCCGTGTTCTTCTCCCGGATCGCGGTCGTGTACGAATGTAAGCCGAACATGTCCAGGTACCAAGCGACCATCAGAGCGTTCGAGGCGTACTCGCCACCGTCGGCCACGGAACTCCGGCGGCACAGGGCGTTTTCGCTGGCCGTGGTCGCCACGTGTCTGGCCGTCATCTTGCCGACCAACACGATCTGCATGTACTACTTGTGCCGCTACGAGCCCAACTCGGATGCGTCGCTGTTCGCCTACCAGCTGTTCATGTACGTCCAGAACCTGAGCATGTGCTGCATCGAGACGCAGTTTGTCGTGCAGTGTTTCAAGGTCTACACCAAGTTTCACGGCATCAACGACGATCTGAAGAGGCTGAAGGACGAAAACCTCAACCGCTCCTAGTACCCGTTTATGTCGTCCGCGGGCTCGTCGTCGCCGTCGCGGTCTGCCGTCGTGTACGACAAAGACTTTTATCGTCCACGGTTCATGAGCCACCCGACGGCCAACACGGTCGAGTTGCTCAGGATCAAACACTAGCTGATCCGATTGTCGATTGATGCGCTCAACAACCTGTTCGGCGTGCACATGGGACTGTCGGTGTGCTATCTGTGGCTCATGGCCTTGTTCGATATTTATTACGAAATGTTCTACAACTCTCGGTCGGGACTGCTGGTCTACTGTTGGCTGCTACAATACATGCTGAGGCTGTTATTGATCATATTGATGGCGCACTTCACGACGAAACAGGTACATACTGCTAATATAATCTCTCTATCTTTCTCTTTTTCGATATATTATATTATGTACAACACTTGTAACTTGTAAGTTGTAACATGTAATATATGTTTAAGATATATATGTATATGTAGGTATTACCTTATATAATATCTTAAAACTTAATTCCTTTATACAATTATTATGTGCAGGCACTCGAAGCGAAGTCACTTATCACGGATACCAATAACGGAAGTATGGATAGTAGTACCAAAGAAGAGGTACCTAATACTATAGTTACCTATATCTATATGCTATACTTACTAATAAGCAACACATGTGGGTGCAAAGCAAGGTTTATAGATTATAATAAAATTATAGTATAATCTATTTAATGAACCTTGGGTGCAGTGTCCTCTTAAATCTAATAATAAAGAAGGAAATAAAAATAAATTATTTATTCCACAATTTTTTTTTGTATCATTTGTATACTATTACCTATATATACATACAGGCATACATCTCAGGGACACTCACAGATAAATTGCTCACTAGGTGCAAAATACTATATACTTGTATATTTTATTATTTATTTGATGTAAGTCCAAATTATTAAAACAATTTTCTCAGGTGGTGCCCCCTCTCCGAACGTCCCTGAAACAGCTGGGGTTTCATAGTTTTTGTCAGGCGTCAATGCGTCATTAACTTTTCTTTAAATTAATATTTGAAAATTATGGTTTTGAAAAACGATTGAAATATTTGTTATACAATTAATAAAATTTCTAGTATTTTTTGGTTTACCTGAATTTGAAATAAAAAATAAAAATCAGAACCTAAGATGATTATTTTTCCACTGGCTGTAATACAGATAAACAACCTGTTAACATATTATTATAACTGTATTATTAAGATTTAAGGTATATTATATTATACATTGTTGTTATTTAAATTTTTTATTTCAGTTACAGTTATTCATAAATCAAATATATAGTTCCACAATAGAATTTAATGCGTACGATTTCTTCACGTTGAATACACAAGTTATAAAATCTGTAAGTGACTTGTCAAAAAAACTGCAATATATTTCTTCAATTTAAATTATAATCAACAAGTAATTTAGTAATAATATTATAGTAATTGTTTTGTACGTAAATACTCTAAATATAAATACTAAAAATGAATGGTACTTCATTACTGCATTATAATATATATGGTATAAACTATATACTAATTATATAAGTATATAACATTTACTGTTTTATAGAACATTTAATTATTTGTTATGTAGGCTATTGCTGCTGGTGCTACATGTCTTGTTATTTTGGTCCAATTTCACTCTGAGAGAAATTGAATTAATTTCCAATCAAGATATCTACATATTATTTAATAAACACAAAATTCACGTTACAGCAAAATATACGTAACTACCTACTATTATATTTAAATTTAATCATGCAGAATCTTTTGTTTTCGTTCCTATGTCTTATGACTTATTTCCTTATCCGAAGAGTACTGAGATATCTTCAGAAAGATAAGTAAGATCGTCACCATTAACATTAAGAGATACCTAAGCTTAACGTAAAATAATATCGAATACTTAATGTATTACGAAGTTACTTTTCTTCAACATCATTTAATTTACTAAAATGCACTTACTTTTCTGGGGAGGAATTTCTTGAGTTACATAAACCAAAATATGATTTTTACTCCTAAGTCATAACAATGTATTTAAATGATGTCATTTTCTAATAATCGATCGTTAAGTTTTCTAACTCTTTAATTATTAATTTACCTTTAATTAATATATAAGGATGCAGAAATTTTGTGTATAATAATAAATAATAATATATCCTATTATTTTTTTTTTCTTATCCTCTTAATATTATTAATTTATTTTCGATGTTAGAATTGTATTAGAACAACCTAGTATTATAAACTTAAAAATTATTATTATAAACTTAAAAATAAGAACTACACATCCAAGGCTACACAACACAAGCACTAGCTTAAAGGAAGTATACAAGAAACAAGTATAACATTAATTAAATATTTGTAATTTATATTGCAATAAATAAATAAATAAATAAATATACAAAATATATTAATTATTTAGTGTTTTTACATCTAAGCAGCCGCTTAACCCGTGGTAATAATGATTAATAATTAAGTCCTAATAAGGCATTAAGGCGTAATAAGTAGTAATAAGTAAAGGTGGCATAATATAATAGATAGGTCATGAAATCTGGATTTAGTTCAAGGCGGTGAATGGCCATGCGTACTTATACAATTTATTGGTATCGGGACATTTTGATCCGCTGGGGATAAATTGATCCTTTGGGGGATATCCTATTTTGATCCGTTTTCTTGAAAAATAAATTGTTCTAAGGGGATCAAATTGTCCTCCGGGGACATTTTGATCCTTGGGGACAATTTGATCCTTTTTTCCTTGGAGACATTTTGATCCGTTTTATCAAATAATGTAATTTTAAGAGCGGATCAAGTTGTCCCCGCCGGATCAAAATAACCTCCGGGGACTTTTTAATCCACGTTTTTTTCAAAGGGACATTTTGATCCGTTCGGTAAAAAAATGAAATTATGATTTTTTTTTTTTATATTTTATCATCTATCATAATATTTACTACTTATTTATGTATATCTTTAAAGATTTCTTTTTTTTCGTTGAATTATTATTATAAATTATAAATATATATATAAATAAATTATAAATATATAATTAAATTATTATAGTACTATTATTAAATATATAAACAGTAAGATCCAACTAGGTATACGTATATTTGGCGTTTGTGTATGTCTATAATATAGGTATATTGCCCATTACAGGCGCATAGCCAGGGGGATGTTGCAGGTTGCAGGTGTAGTGACACCCCCTCACTGGCGTCACTTGTTCCTGTTATACATAATATAAAGTTATGAAGGTAATGATTCATCATACACAGCGATGTACCTACACACATTAATTATCATTACGAAATATTTATATACATACAACATATACATGATATGGTACCTACCTATTATATATTATTATTATGTATAATATAGTATATGAGTGTACGTAAGAATGTTATCAGACATCAATTAACATAGGTTGTAATAAGTTCTGTGCATAGCAAACTAGACGATTCTAGACTTCGTGGCTTTAACTGCCTAAAACTTATAAGTTATAAGTTTATAAATTATTATGGGAAATAACCTTGGTTCTGTTCAGGGGCGTACCGAGGAGGTTTTTATTGGGGGGCCAAAGTTAGTAGTTTGGCCAACTCTAAAAATTGATCCGGGACAACTTGTTTTTGTTATTTTGTAGGAGCCATTTCATCGTTAAACAGTTAAAATGTTTTAATTATTTAAGTAAATTAAAAATTCAAGCTATTATACTAATAGATTATGAAAATTGTTTATAATATATAAAGATATCCATTACAATTATTATATTAGGTAAGTACCACATTTGCAATAAAATAATAAATAATGTTACAAAAAAAAAAAAAACAAAACAAAGTAAATAATAAAAAGGCGGGCAAGTGGGTGTCAGTTATTAGTTTTTGAATTACAACAAAATAAGGAAATTGCTACATGAGAAATCGAGTGAACATCCAATGTTGTAAAAATTTGAATTTCAAACGCTCATAAAAATTTAATTTGACTGTCCGGTAGAGATTTTTTTATTGATAAAGGTAGACAAACTTATGAGTAATCTTGTATTACATTTTAAAATCTTAGATTTAAAAAGAAAAATTTTTACGAATTTTTACTCAAAATAATTTCCTAATTTTCGTGATTTTTCCATATTTTGTCAATTTTTGAACTTTAAATGCTTATAAAAAAAAAATTGTGACTAAGGATTTTTAATATTTTTCATCTGCCTATTAAACAATATACTAGGAGCCTTCTATTAAATTTTCAAGCTTTCGCAACCAACGAATAAAATTTTATTGATATTTTTAGAAAAAAAACTAAAAACAAATGGAAAATGAAAATGTCCCTAACCAGTTCAAAATAAATCAAAATATTTTGAAAATGTTATCGTGTATAGAAAATGCAAATATAAACAACCAGTGAAAATTTCATGTATATATACGTTAATTTGTTTTAAAGTTACACCAAAAACCAAATTCGATTTTTTGGAAAACTGATTTTGCGTAAAAATTCCCGTTTTTCCTTAATTTTTATGTTGTTTTTCCCGGCGCTTGTGAAAACTACTAGGAAATGTTTACATAATATTACAGATAAACATAACGTGACGTATAATAATTATTGTAAATAATAGTGGTAGGTATCGCAAGCCTGCAGTAACAAATTAGATGCCATAGACTGAAAACATCAAGTTAACCACGTTCAATTGGCTATTTATAGTATCTGCCATCTGGTATCATTAACATTGGGATTTTCAAACTCCCTCACCATTGCACCTATTCCTCTTATTATTACTGACGCACTGATAACAATTTAGTATTTACTGCTTATTTTTCCGATAATAGACAATAGATATTTTTCTAGTTCAGACAGTATAATAATATTAGTATATTCACTATATTATTCTAATAACCTTGATTCTAGTCAATATCACCATCACAAATCACTATCGTCAATCGTATACAAATTATTAGTTGGCCATTATGTACAGTTATTGAGTTTTTCATAAATGTAAAATGGCCAACTCAAAAGTTAAGAAACCAATTATTGGGGGGGTATTATATGACCACCCTACCCCCCCACTAGGTTCGCCCCTGGTTCTGTTATATCTAGGGCTTGGAAGTAGTAGACGTTGCACACTATTCTATATGTTCTCGATGTATAGCAGACCAAGCTAGAAATCTGAGCTATAGCTATACCTACAATGGTCACCATTGAATGGTGAGTTTAAAAAGTGGGTAAGTAGATATCGATCTGCTGTACAGTAGGTTACAAGTGGGTCACTGTAATAGATGGTGTTAAATTTGAGTTCTATGTTCGAAGCATTATTTCGACTACTTATCGTGTACACAGACCCAAAAAAAATAAAAAAAATCAATAAAAAAATAAAAAAAAACACACAATATTATTGTAAAATCAATACATTCATCGTTCCACTCAGAATCTAAAATATCTTAGAGGTTTTAAGAAATTGTCTTCAAATTATCACATTTTATTATTTTATATAGTGATATTATTGGTATAGGTTCAGTTTCTATTTTATAATAGATCAATAGCCAATAGGTTACCTAAATCACATTTTTTTAAATTTAAATCCCGGTAGTCAAGTTTTTGGAAAGTACCTACCACAAAGGAGACTTATAATAATTCACATTGTAATTTAATAGAATGTCTATACATTTGCGGACCAGTTTCGTATAGTTAAATTTGGCATGTGAACTATGAATGAAATAGAAAACCAGAATAAGTACATTGCTGATCACAAAAATTTCTGTAAAAATACGTACGATTTACCAAAGACCGTTTAGGTAATTAGTATAGTATATAAGTTCTATGGATTTATCATAGTAAATAATATATTTTATAATAATATCTATGGCAATCGTCAATTGTCGACATTCGTCGGCGACGATTAACAATTCTAATAATTTCAGTGAACAAAAAAATAATAAGCGATCAATATGTACGGACAGTTTGTTTTCACAAATTCACACATATGGTTATGGTCAGATTATTTTCATTAAATATTTCGATACTTTCAAGTTTCAGTTCTGAGCAAGATGATGATGGATGAAGTTAGCCGTTTTTTCGGCGACGGCGGCACTCTAGCTAGATTTCACCGGAAGAGTCGATGTTTACGCGTAAGTTTGTTTTCATATTATTGCTATTTTAGTATTTTACATTTACTTTAAGACTTAAATTAAATATTTATTGCCCCGGACAATCTGTTAACTGGGTGACGTAGAAGCATTTATAAGTTTAATCCTAAAAGCGCCATATATAAAATACGCGAGACCGAACAGTCCAAAGTCCGTTTTCGTTTCACTACTCCAAGTTTAATAAGTGCCTTTTTGCATAGGTATACTATAAGCCGGGTATCACCTTAGGTTTTGCGTGAAGTATTTAAAACAATATAATGTTATCAATCTTTATATTTTATATACATAAATACATTATAAACCTCTTGTATTTTATTAGCATATACTCACAAATTTTTTAGTGTAGTTTATACCCTATATGGCTAGATATTAAATGTTTTGCAATTATATATTTTACTATAATTATTATTTTCCATTATCATATAATATAACGATACACTTTAAATTAAATTAGTTGTTATCAACACAGACAGTCTTAAGACAAACTCTTTTCTGGATGTTATCAAAACGGATTATGATTAAACAAATTGCACAG